GCACTCTTTCAAATGCCTTGAGTGCTAATTAGTAATCAGTCTTAAATGGGGTTTACTTGGAAATGCTCTGAATATCCGTATAAATTAGCCAAAGTGTGAAGAAACCTCAGTTTTGAACCAGACTTTTACCTGTATATAAGCAAAGTATAGTAGGATTAAAAGCCCAGGGAAGACTTGGACGATACTGGTGTTTACTGTGGTTGAATCAGTCATGATCTCCTGGGATATATCTCGGAAAATACGAGCTTAAAAAGGAGCCATCATTCCTGACAAGTTGACATTTGTGTCTACCGAGAATATGGTTTTTGTCTGTTGTTTACTCCTAAATCAGGACAAACTTTATGCTTCTCTGACAGGAATATATACAGTTGGGCTTTAGCATAATTTTTTTTTTTAATTCACAGTTTTCAAATTTTATCTTACCCATTTTCTCTTTTATAAGTAAAATAATCCCTTTGGCCTTGCCTTTCTTTCTATACTTGCCCCCTGACAGATCTTTTCCAGCTTTCGTCTTTAAAACCAAATGATTACTCCACTTGTGGGTCTCCGCACGCAGCCCCGACCCCCACTTCTTTCCTATCCAAACCACGGATTAGTGGGTGCTGGCCTTTCCTTTAAACTGTGGGTTCCTCCTTCAGGGTGCCAGCTGTTATTTCCAATAGAGCCGTGTTCCACTGTGCTGCCTGGTTGGTCTTCCCAAGTCCATGGTGTCTCTTCATTCATTATACTTGGTAGATTTTTATTTTGGTCTAGAAATAGTATCTTTTTTTTAGAACTGGCCTCTTTCATGACACTATTTTTAATGTATTATAATTTCTAGTTATAATTCATGGTTTACCTATAAAAGTCATCTTCCTAGATAATTGTTTTAGTAGGTGATAGATTGAGTGCATAAAATAGCTCTACATTAGATATGAAGAAGGAAGTTGTCATGTTACAGTAAATTGAGTTAATACTTTTGGAGTGTATCTTTAAAATGTAACTGATAACCTTTGCCCAGTATATGAATTTCAGGAGTCTGTGTTGGTATCTTTGCTTACCTTTACAGATTTTATTTTATTTATGCACACACACACACACACACACACACACACACACACACACACACACACACACACAGTGTGTTTATGTGTATGTGTTGTTTTCGTTGGCTGCTGGGGAGCTGGCAGCCCTATAGCAACCCCAAGCACAACAGAACAAAGTGCTGTCTCGGCCTGCACCATCACCAGGCTCAGCTGCAGATTGAAACGTTGTGACTTATAAGTTTTTACTGGCTGATTTTCCAAAATAGATCACCAGGCCTTTCTTCCTAGTTCACCTTAGTCTAGAAACTCTGCTGAAACCTGTTCAGTGTCATAGCAACACACAAGTCTCCACTGACAGATGGGTGGTAGCTGCACGTGAGGTGCATTGGCTGGGAATCGAACCCAGGTCTCCTTCACAGAAGGCGAGAATTTTACCGCTGAATCCCCAATGGCAGTGTGTGTGCGTGCACGCGGACATGTGTTTATTGAGCTTGAGAACAGGATCACCAGGAGGGCACGTGGTGGGTGGTGAGAGCTCCTGAGACCACCTCACCCCCCGCAGCAGTCCAGCATCTGGAGATCCTGTCCACCTCTGCGGAGTTATTTTAGCAAGAAAGTTCCACAGAACTGTGAGAGAAGGCAGCAGGCCCCTGTCCTGGACTCCAGCGTTTTCCCGTCCTCCTCTGCTGCACTGTGGGCCGTCCCGTCCGTCTGGACCCCGTTCTCCTTCAATTATGTGGGTTGGAGTTGCCCCCGCCCCACAGAAAGGCAGCAGCCACCACTTGGCTTTGTCCCCTAGTTGACACCTCGTAATGCAGGCTCGTTGTTTCCAGGACTGCCAGTTTTTTCATTCTGGCAATCCAGATTCGTATGTAATTTTTACAAAAACAAGGAATTGGCCAAATAAAATATATGTCGGCCAGAATCGGCCCACAAGCCATTGGTGGTTTCTAATCACAAATGCACAATAAAAATAATCTCGGGGGCTTTTTTGACTCTACGTGCCTGGTTCCCAGCCCCCAAAATGCCAATTTAACAGCTTTAGCGAGATGCCCCAGAGTGCCATGCCCTCCCTCTCTTGGGGCTGAGTATGGCACTGTCACATCAGTGTCCCCCTGGTTTTACTCACTTAGGTATGCCATCTCACTTAGGTATGCCCCTGCAGGTCAAGCTTGAGTTTGTCCCGCCGTTTCTGGCACTATACCGAGACTCTTAGGTATGCCCCTGCAGGTCAAGCTTGA